AGCATCTTTTTGGAGTCACACAGACCAGAAACATCTTAATATCAAACATAACTGACTTGGCATCAGCACATGAGATTAATTTTGAGTACAAAACATATAATCATGGTTCAGCATTTATAGCTCAAGAGGGTAGGGCTCCAGCCACATACACCAGAGCTGGTGGGTTCAAATCCAGCCTGGGCCTGCCAAATGACAATGGCAACTATAACCAAAAAATAGCTGAGCGTTGTGGCGGGTGCCTGTTGTCCCAGCTACTGGGGAATCTAAGGCACGAGAATGGCTTAAGCCCAAGAGTTTGAGGTTGCTGTGAGCTGTGATGCCACAGCACTCTACCCAGGGTGACATAGTGAGACTCTGTCTCAAAACAAACAAACAAATAAACATATAGTCATTAAAAATTTAGAATATGGAATTTAATTCATGTTCTTAGTGACTTCTATGTAGGTATTTCTAAATATCTTAATCAAAAGCAGAGTATCTGGGCGGCACCTGTGGCTTAGTGGGTAGGGCACCGGTCCCATATCCAGGGTGTCTGTTTAGGAGTTTAAGATTCCTGAGACATTGTCATAATTTTTAGAGCTGGAGCACCCTTTCCTTTTGTATCCCCTCAGCCTCCTGTGTGTGTCACTTCATAGCACTTGAAGCATAGTAGTTGTAATGGTTTGTATTTGTTTTTAAATTGAATCACGAGTCCTTTGAAGTTGGCACCTGGGTTTTGTCAATCCCCTTCCTTAGTTTCTAGACAGCACTTGGGATGGAGTAGGAAGTTCAGTGAATGTATATGGAATTTAATTAAATTTTTGAAAACATGTCTTCTGCCCCCTCATTTTGCAGGTAAGGAAATCGAGATTTAGAAAGAGGAATCACTTCTGCGAGTTCAAATGGGAAATTAACAATGGAATCAGAAATAAATCCTAGTTTATTTGATTGCTTAAGGTTTTTGTGGTTGTTTTCTCCTCCTGTCCAGCTTGGTTTGGTAGCTCATTAGCCAGAAGTTGGAAGCAATTACAAGTTGTGGAAATGCAAACCTTGTTTGTTATGAAAACCACTGGTCACGCAAATGTTGCCCTTGTATTGAGTACAGGATTTGTTTCTTAGGTCCCTCCACTTAGTCAAAAGCCAGGAGTCAACAATGCCTCCAGTGTAAGATTTCATTTTCCCTGAAAACACCCACAGATACACACACACAAACAGCACATGCACACACACAGGCACACACACAGCATGTGACCCAAGCAGAGCAGCTGGACAGGATATTTTGGATGAAATCTTGGCATTTATTGTTCCTGTGTGACCTACTGAGGCCACTGGTGCCAGGATTCAAATAGACTTCGGTTTCAGCCCCTCTCTTCTCCTCCGTGCTTGCATGGGGACAGGACACCCGTCCTAAAGGGTAGTTTTGAGCATTAGATGGAGAAAGAGTGATTTCATCATGAAGTTGCTTTGTACCTTGGTGCAGCCAGCTAGCCTCTCCGGGCCACGGTATCTGTGTCCATGAAAGGGATTAGATTAGATGATTTACAGAGCTCTGTGAAGCTGGAACGTTCTATGATTCTCCTCCCCTGGGATCTAATTGGCCTCTGCATGGAGTGTTGCAAGGACTGAGGGCGTAAGGAGAGAATGACGCGGCGCTGACGCAGGGCTGGCTTCTGCCGCCTCGCAAAGGATCCCCGTTTGATGTTGGCCTTTTATCAGGGTATGTTTGTGCTCTAGCCAGGGCTTGCCTGGCCATCGCACCAGTCCCCGTTCTGTTTCTCAGTATTTGGGGAAAGAGCCAGTGGATGCAGAGACGTACAGACAGGCTATCTTCCCAAGAATTGCCTGGATGGTGTAACTTGCAGAGTACAGAGAGATTTCCTGTTTTCTCTTCCATGAGTTTAAGTTCCAAGTGATTACAAAAACCACACGCACACACACCCCAAAAAGCAGAAGTGCACACACATGATGTTCTCTCTCTTCACATTGCTGGAGTCCACTGCAATCTGCCCATCTGTGTCACTTTCATCCATGGCCCTGGATCTCATCATTATGGTAATTAAGCCCTTAGCCCTAGCTGGAGGTGTTACAGAATCTTAAGCTATGAGCAGTTGTGCACGTTAATTTCACTAAGGGGGACCCTGCAAAGGGACGGAGCAAAGGACTGACAGTCAGCATGACCTCATGCTAGCCCATCTGGATTCTGTCCTCAGGAGAGTGCCTCCCTCTGGTGCTGGTTAGAGAAGGGACATTTGTTCTCAGCAGAGGCTCTGGCCCTAGTAGGAACTGTGCTTTTATTGACACTTTATACGCAAGTATTTCATGGAATATACTTACACTAAAAAAATATTGTCTGAAATTTAAATGTGCCTTGGCACCTGTGTTTTTATTTACTGGATTTGGCAATCCTACTTGGGGTTTATCTCATTGCTCTACGTGGCTGAACAGAGACGGCATACACTTGGCAGTTACAGAGATTTATGATTCTGCTTCTACCCTGCTGTGTGATCTTGGGAAAATGACTTCACTGCTCTGATTCCTAGTTTTCTCATCTGTAAAATGAAGATCGTAATATTTTTATCTCAGGACTTTGGTGAGGATTACATGTGAATGCACCTAAGGCACCTTACACTATGCAATTGAGTGTTTCATTATCATTATGGGGGGGTTACTACACTTAACTCAGAAAAACTCAATCATTTGATCATCCCTGGGAGAAAATGCGGATAAGAACTTAGGACACAAGTAATTGGAGTTTTCTTGTCAAAGTCCCTGGGAGAAATGTGATGGAGACTTAGTAACATTCTTGATAGACACCTTCTTCCACATCTGTGTTCTGGGTCAGTAAGGAGGGAGACCCCGGACCCACTTTACACAAACATGCTGAACTTGAGTCTTTTCAACAATGCAGGTTAGAAAAAGGGACTTTGGCATTTTCAGGTATTATTGGTTATAGGCAGCGTGCAACTTTTATTTAAAAAGCACACAGAAAGTAAAAACATAGAAAAGAAAAGACAAAGAAATACACATAGAACTAGCCAAGCACATGTCTGGCAAGAGAATAAGAGATTAACACTCTCTGGAGGCCTTCAGTTTTAAAGAGAGCTGTCATACATTCTGAATCCTCCAGGCCTTGAAATACCGGTGTCAGCATCAAGCAATCACTTACTGAAGGGATCTCCCACACCTGAGTCTCAGCGAGGGGAAGGAAGTAGAAGGTAAAACCTGGGTCCTGTCCACAACTGAACGGACGAAGTGAAGTTTTCTTGGGCAGCGCCTGTGGCTCAAAGGAGTAGGGCACTGGCCCCATATGCCAGAGGTGGTGGGTTCAAACCCAGCCCTGGCCAAAAACTGCAAAAAAAAAAAAAGTTCTTTTTACTGTCAAATACTAATAGTCACTTTCCAGTGCCCGTTCATGTATCTACTAAATATTGACTGAGTAACTGTGCTAGGTCTTATACTACTCATGTGAATAAGGCCTAGCCTTTGCCCTCGATGGGATCAGTATCTGTTGCATGAGACAGGCAAGGAGATACGAGGTTAGACCATTAAGTTCGCAAACTCATCCTAGAAAAAGTGCTGCATACCTCACTGGGGAATATCACTACGGTCACCTCGGAAGTACTATCCATGAGAAGCTATGCACTGATGCAGGCACCTAATCTATCCTTCAAAACACTGTCTAGGGTGAGTTTGTGAACTTAATTGTCAGACCTGATACAATGATAGTTCTCATGGCCATTCCAGAGAAAGAGTTCCAACATTGCTTTGAAGGGTGGACTAGGCACCCTTGGTGTTATTGGTGCACAGCTTCCCAAGGGGAGCACTTTGAAGGTGACCACAGTGATATTCAGCAACGAAGCATGTGACATTTCTTCTAGGAGAAGTTTGCCAACTTAATTGTCTGACTTTGTGTGATAGTAGGTGTTATGTACTGTGTTATGATGTCTAGAAGAGAAGCATGATTCCAGGCTGAGGAAGTCAGGCTGGGGTTCCCGGAGAAAGGAATGTTTCATTTCAGACCAAAAGAGTGAATTGGAATGCAAGGAGGGGAATATTCCAGGCAGAGGACAGAATGTGTTTAAGAAAAAAAGAGAGAGAGAGAGGAGAGAATGAAGCACATTGCAGTTCCATAGAACATTGTCATTGAAAGCAAACTATGGCCCTCAGCCCCAATCTGTCTTTGTAAATAAGGTTTTATAGGAACACAACCTTATGCATTCATTTGAAGTATTGTTTATGCTACTTTGTAGCATTTTGCTGAGCTACAAAGGCAACATTAAGTAATCAAAGCAAAGATCACCTGGTTGTAAAGCTCACAGTACCTTCTATCTGGTGCTTTACAGAAACAGTTTGCTCTCTCCCAATTTAAAGCACACTTTACATCAACAAGAATTGCCTTGGTAGAAATGTTAGTGGATGCATGAGAATGGAAGACACTATGCAAGGGCAGAAGAGTGGGGAGGACAAGCTTGGGGAGGTGGTCAGGAGCTACAACAGGGACATTAGACTTCGTCCCCAAAGCTGTGGGAAACCTCAGTCTGCTACAGAAGCAGTGCAGGTGGGTGTTTGAGACGGCAGCCTCTGGAGTCAGATTGCCTCGGATTGGATCCCAGCTCCAACAATCACTTACTAGCTGTGAACCTCAGGCAAGTTACTTACTTTCTGTGTCCTTGGTTTTCCAGTTTGTAAAGTAGGAGATGATAATAATCATAATCCTAGTCATAATATCTACCATGTGGGATTGTTATGAAATGAAGTCAGTTGTTATAGGTAGAGCACCAGGCCAAGGTTAAGTTCTCAGTGGATGCTCTTACTGTTGTTTCTCAATGATCCTTCTGGGATGACCTCCAGAATGGGAGAACCTGGCAGTAGAGTGATAGGCATTTAGGCAGGAGGTGGTGTCCTGTGCTTAGGAGGGCTGCCCTAAAGCCTGGGCTGGCTATCAGCAAGGCCATCAGCACCTTCACTCATTACCTCCCTGCCCTTGTCCTCATTGTCTATTCTGTCCTCCTTTATTCCAGGCCTTCAAGAGTGCCCTGATGAGTTCCTACTGGTGCTCAGGGAAAGGGGACGTGATCGACGACTGGTGCAGGTGTGACCTCAGCGCCTTTGATGCCAGTGGGCTCCCCAGCTGCAGCCCTCTTCCCCAGCCGGTGTACGTATGTACGGCCCCTTTTCCTTCGGCCACCCCTTTTCATAAACTCACATTCCTATCTTGTCAGCACAGGCCATGACTTGCTTCTGTTCCCAAGGTGTCTGACCAGATCCCTGAAGTCCCTGCAGCCTACTTCCTTTTTTTTTTAGGAACGAAGGGAGCTTTGGCAGAATAGAAACATGACAAATGCTGATGTGTGTGTGCTATTTTAAAGGATGCCACTCAGCCCATCATTCCTCCTTCTTTTATTAATCCATTCAGCAAAACTTTACTGGGCAGTTGTCCATCAGGAACTATGTTGGGGCCTGGGACTCCTGACAGATCAAGAAAGTGTAGAACCTCTTCTAAGGAACTTCAGCTTTTTTTTTTTCATTTATTCAGCAAATAATTTGAACACCTGCTATGAATCAGGCACTGGAAAAGAAATCAATGAACAAGACAGGCACAGCTCCACGCACTGGATAGAGAGATGCCAAAGCAAAAACGGGAAAGTAAGAGGTAGTTTAAAATTTTAAGTAAGACAAATATGAAAGTAAATCGAAGAGGTGCTAATAAGGGAGAAGAATGCAGAGTTATTTTTGTTGGAAAGTGGGAGAATAGTTGGGGAAATCTCTATGATTACGGAGCCTGGAATATGGCAGGAGTCAGCCAGGCAACGAGTGGTGAGAATCGTATTTCAGGCAGAAGGAACAGCACATGTGAAGGCCTTGATGTAGGAAAGTCACCATTTGAGGGAGTAAAGGAAAGCCGTCTTCACTGGAGGAGTGTGATTAAACAGAAGGGGGGATGTGAGGAGTGTGAGAGAGGTGGGGAAGAGGCAATATTGGAAGCAGAGTCCTGTAACACGCCTCTGTCGGGAGATAAGACTCACTGCAAGTTCAAGGCAAGACGGTCCTGGAAGGCACAGTGCAGAGTGGAGACAAAAAGGAACGTGGGATTGGGATGAGCACATTACCATCAGGACCCTGTCCTCAGCTAACTTGCTGCGTGCCCCTGTGCAAACCATTTCCCTTTGCTGGGTCTGTCTCTGTTTTGTGAAATGAAGGAATTAAACTTCATTATCTCTAAGATCATTCCAGTTCTAGTCTTCAATCATTCTGGGTTTTTTTTTTTTTTCTTATTTTACAAAAGGATTTACTCCAGGACTGTTGCGCCTTTAGAGAGAGTACTGACTTAAGGATATTAAACAGCTTGCTGATACATTGGGGGAGCTAAAGAGAGTATCAGAAAGATGGAAAGCTGCTGTATTTGAAGGAACTGCCAATTTAATAAACTGAAGCAGTGAGAATTTAGTTTAAATAAGTGGAAAACTAATCAACTTCCATTGAGCACATACTGTGTACATGGATAAATTTACCGAATTCTATGTCGATCTTGAAAGGTGACTCTTTTTATCCCCATTTTGTGGGTGAGGGAACAGAGGCCATTAGAGGCAAAATACCTTATTTAAGGCCGTGCAAGTTGTTGGTGGGTGTAATGAGGATTTGAACCAAGGTTAAAACTTGTGCTTCAACTTGACACATGCAGACTCTTTTGGGACCCAGCTGGTGCTGGCTGGCAAACAAGCAATTCTCCCTTTCACCCCCTGTAGACTACGGCTGTCCCCAACAGTGGAGCCCTCCAGTACCGTGGTCTCCTTGGAGTGGGTAGATGTCCAGCCAGCTATTGGGACCAAGGTCTCCGACTACATCCTGCAGCATAAAAAGGTGGATGAATATACGGACACTGACCTGTACACAGGTAGGTGCACGACTGCCGTGTTCTTGGGATAGTAGGGCAGAGAAGCAGAACTGGGGCCTTCTAATGTCTTTGTAGACTTGGCGTAATCTGGCTTGGGAAGACATGGGGAGGGGTCATTGTTTAATGATTTTTCAGTGCTTATCATTATGTGCTTTTTTGTTTGATTGAGAGCAAGGCAAGGTAGCAACTTTTAGTTATGATTTCTGATTCTCTGCATTGGGCCTTCAAAATTATATGACAAAAAGTTGAATATAAAGAAGACTTGATCTTTCTCTGGTTGGGAAGGCCTGTAGGTTTTATGTTTAAAAGGCCTTGTAAATATTTTCTCTTTGAGACTGAGATGGGGAAGTTCAAACTATTGTCTTCCGAGTGAAATACTCTGAGATAGTCTTCATTAACTGATACAGATGAATGTATTAGAAATGATTCAGGCTTGTGGGAGCTTTTGAGAAAGGTACCTTTTAAGAGGGCTACCTTTGGTTGTAATGAAGAATGTTATCTCTGAGTTCTAAATCATTTAGGCTGTCAAGAGGCTAAGCATTCACCTGTGATGTGTTCCGGGGGCTTACACTGTCTGCTCTCTTGTGAGACTTTCGGTAATTTTTTTTTCAGCCGGAAAACATCAATTGCACATCTACCTTCTATGTAAGGCACAGAGCTAAGTACTTTGGTCAGCAATTTTCTGAATCCTCACAGCTCTAGGAGGGTTGTTGTTTGTTGTGCTTGTTTCATAATTTAGGAAAATGAGACTAATCCAAGTTTATCCAGCTATTGATAGCCTTCCAATTCACAATTTTAGTACTTAATGCAGACTAGATTATTGTAGACTAGATTATTGAAAAAATTAAAGAAGCATATTAATAATTATTTGGTTACCTACTCCATTATGTTATAAATTCAAGAAAGAAGGATAAGTTTTGTGTCTTAATTGTAGCTGATTGCCAATATAGGTATCTGCCCTAAAGTCCAGCATTCGTGTACTTACTACACGAATGAATAATGAATAAATGAAAGGACCATATTGTTCCCTTTTCTTTTTTTCCATCTCCTTCTCTCCATCCTGTCTTTCTCCTCCATTTCTCACTTTCTCTGGATTCTTTTTTTCTTCTTCTTCTGAAATTGGAAACAGAAGTAGTAAATCAAGGCTGTAAATGTGAAATGGGTCAGAAAGAGAAAGGCTCAGATTCTGAATGAAATCATAAGCCAGGTTGGGTAATACTTACTATGCTAGGATTGAGGAGGATGTCCAGCGTGGCTGGCTGAAGGGTGTAGGGTGGGCTGGAGTGGCCTCACTTTCTCAGAGGGGCTAGCGGTAGAACAGGAACTGAGCAGCTAGCTTGGCCTCATCTTTTGAACTTTGTTAATTCTTTCCATCTTTGACTGTGTGCAGTGCACATGTCTGTGCAGGACCTTGTGTTTGTGCAGGTTGAAGTGTGTGTATGTTGATGTTTGTCTGCTCACACTTTATGTTTATGTGAGTGAGTTTTGCAACTATGTGTGAACGGGTGAATAGGAATTCTTGTGGGGGCATCTTTGTACCCATGGAGAGCTATTTCTAGACAGCAGAGTTCACAGAACACACAGATCACCAAGACAAACAAAAGTTCTTTGATGTCGGCTTGACACTTTCCCAATGATGCTTCACATCTCTGTAGTATGCCATTCTCGGAAGTTAAAAAAAATAAATAAACTATGTAAGAGAAGAATGATTATCAACCTCATTTTACAGATACAGTGAGTAAATCTCAGAAAGATATGTGGTGACTTTCTTGAAGTCTCACAAGCACATCTGACAGAGCCAGGCTTTATAATCATGTCTGTCTGATTCCCAGCATAGCACTTGTTCTTATATGCCCTACAAATGTCTGTGTCAAAACTCAGGTATTATTGTTTTTCCACAGAGCCTTCCTGACCTTTTCAACACAAAGTTGTCTAAAGACAGAGCATTCATTTTTTCTACAATTTCTTTGGCAACTCCATTCATTGCCTTGAAATGCCTCCTATAATATCAGTGTACAATTTTAAGGTTAGAAATATCTTAAGAGATCACCAAATCTTCTTTCTTTATTTTTGTTGTTAATGTATTTGCTTTTGGTGTCTTCGTCATAAATTCTTTGCCGAGGCTGCTGTCTGGAAGCATTTTCCCTATATTTTCTTCTACAGAATTTTTAAGGTTTCATGCTTTACATTTAAGCCTTTGATCCACCTTGAATTTATTTTTGTATGTGGTTAAGAGATATTCTTTCACATTCTTCTAGGTGTAACTATCCAGTTTTCCCAGCACCATTTATCTATCCGAAGAAAAAGAGATCATTTTATGAAAAAGACACCTACACTTGAGAGAGAGAGAGAGCCAAAATATGTATTCATGCATTTTAAGAAAGAAAAAAAAAACTATTAAAATTGTAATACTCAAAAAAGTCCCACTTGAGTTCTGCAATTGCAAGAGATTCAAGCTACAATATACAAGACAGCAAACATTATCACTATACATTATTATAGTTTTAATACAGTGTTTTCCTTCCTAGAATGTGTATACATATTTTTTGCACCCTTGGTATCTACCATGGAGTACTACTGAGCCATGAAATGGAGTGAAATAATGTCTTTTGCAGCAATTTTGATGGCACTGAAGACAAGTATCCTAAGTGAAATCATCTCAGAAATGGAAAAACAAACCCTACATATACTCAATAGTAATTGTGAGCTAATTGATGGGCACATATGGGCAAAAAGAGATGTAAAGGGCATTGGAAACCAAGAAGTGGGGAGGAGGAAAGAGGGAAGAGGTAGAAACTCACCTGTTAGGTACCATGAATATTATTCCTGTGATGGGTACACTAAAAGCCCTGATTCAAGCATTGCAAAGGTACGTATGTATGTAAGAAAAGTGTTTTTACTCCTTCAATATTTGGATTAAAAAAAGATCACCCAGTCTTGCCTTCTTCTTAACATTTCAGCACGCAATGTACTTCAAAATGTACTCTGCTTACATGCCTCCCGGGTTGTAAAGCTCAGTTCTTTCTAAACTTTTCTATGAGCATGATTGTGTCATTTGCAAACAGAGATAATTATAAGCCTCTCTTTCCAATCTGGGTGACTTTTATATATTTATTTTTTTTCTTGCCTAATTGCTTTGGCTAGGACTTGCAATGGTGGAAGCAGACATCTTTGCCTTTTTTTCCCCCTAATCTTAGGCCAAAAGCCTTTAGCATTTCACCATTAAGTATGATGCTCCTCTATGTCTTTTAGGAAACCTTCCTTCGGTTGAAGGAGGTAAATTCTGTTCAGAGTTTATTGAGAGGCTTTGTTTTGTTTTAGTGAGGAGAAGATGTTGAATTTTCTGTGTAGAATGATCATGTAGCTTGTCATTCTTAGTTTGTTAATACAGTACAAATTATATCAAAAGATTTTCGAATTACAAAATAATCTGCATTCCTGGGATAAATCCCACATGGTCGTTATATACTATCTTTTTTGTATACATGCTTGTTGGATTTTGTTTAGGATTTTTGCTTCTATGCTTAATGATGGATTTTGATCTGTAGCTTTCTTGTAATGCTTTTGTCTGTCTTGTATCAGGGTCATTCTGGTCTCACAAGATAAATTGTGAAATATTTCCTCATTTTCACTTTTCTGAAACTTATTTGTCTTCTCAAAGAATCAATTTGGTTAAAATTAGTAGCATTTCTGCATTAATTGTTCAGTAGAATTCACTAGTAACACCATTTAGGTCTGGTCCTATTCTTGCAAATTACCTACTGATTTAATTCTCTAATAGATACAGGCTATTCTGGTTATCTAGTTCTTCTTGAGTGATCTTTGGCAGCTTGTGTCATTAAAAACTGTGGTGCTCAACTCCCCAGCCACTGACTGGCACCAGTCTATGGCCTGTTAAGAACTGAGCTGTATAGCAGGAGGTGAGAGGTAGGAGAGCAACTGAAGCTTAATCTGTACTTACCATTCCCCATATCACCACCTGAGTTTTGCCTCTTATTGGATCATTGATGGCACTAGATTCTTATAAGAGCAAGGAGCCTGCTGTAAACCATGCTATGAGCCATGTAGGTTGCACACTCCTTATGAGAATCAAATGGCTTATGATCTGAGGTGGAACTGAGGCAGTGGTGCTAGTTCTGAGGAATGCCTGTAAATAAAGAATGGGACCATCTAGTTATAGGAAAACAAGCTACATTATGGTAAGTTGTATAATTATTTCATTATATATTACAATGTCATAATAAGAGAAATGAAGTGCAGAATAAAGTAATATGTTTGAATCATCTTGAAATCACTTCCTACCCATCCCACCACCCCTGTTCATGGAAATATTATCTTCCATGAAACTGGTTCCTGGTGCCAAAACGTTGAGGACCTCTGTTAGAAAGAATTTGTTCATCTCATGTAAGTTACTGAATTTATTGGCTAAAGTTTCTCCTGACACTGTTATTACTCTTTAAATATCTGTTAAATGCATAAGGATATCATTCTTATTATCAGTAATTTGTATTATCTCTCTTTTTTTTTTTATCAGTTTGTTGAAGTGGCTATGGAATTTATCTTCCCTAAGAATCAGCTTTTAGTTTTATTTATTTAGTCTATTTATTCCATTGTTTTCTATTCTGTTGATTTATACTCTTATCTTTATTATTTCCCTTTTTTGGCTTACTTTGGATTTGATTTATTCCTTTTTTAAATGTGTATTTTTAAGATGGTAGCTATAGTTTTAGACCTTTCCTGTAATACAGGCATTGTCTTTAATTACTGATTTAGTGGTATTACAAAGATTTTGTCAAATTATACTTTTATTTTTATTTAGTTAAAATATCTTGTTTTCCTATTTATTTTCCTTTGATGTATTGGTTATTTAGAAGTAATTTGCTGTGTTTCTAAATATTTGTGGATTTTTCAGATATCTGTTATTAATGTTTGATTTGATTTCATTGTAATCAGAGAATGTAACTTTTATGATTTATTGACATGGATTTTATGTCTAGAGT